AACCTATTGATTGGACTAGAGCGAAAATCCATTTCATTCAAACATGTACATGATATAACCTGAAAAACGAAATGAGGTGAAAATTAGAGTTGATTCATGAAATATAGTTCATACCATTGATTATAGATCCAGGCCAAAAACACTAGCAATAAGGCTGGTGGTGTGATAATAGCAGGTTAGCACCATAGAAAGGCACTCAGAAGTGGTTGTTAAGCTAAAATCACAGAAAGACTCCTCATGCAACTGACACAAAATCAATTATACCGATTATACATAACCCGGAACAATGTTAAATTAAATTGCCACACACTGTAACAGAGATGAGATTTTACAAGATAAGGAGAGTAGAATATATAGAAGACCTATTCTACATTACAAGACCATAGGCCTCTTATACATGAAACTCATAAAACAAATTTGAACCGATATAATATAAGACAATTTGGCACCAATTGTGCATTTATTCAGTTCCTGTGATCTTCTTCTTTAAAGCTTCAACGTCCGTGGCCAGTTCTTTTCTACTTGACTGAAAGAAAAAAAATAGTTAGTCGGCAACATCTGAATTTCTAGGCAAACCAAAAGGAGAAATAGTCAGCAAGTATCCCAATACAGGCACTACCATATCAGCGTGTCATTTCCGACAACTACATCAGCATGTTAAGTTGAATGCGTATGACTGGAACAAATCTTTTGGGAATTCAGAAAAAAAACTAGTGCAATAAGCAATCCTGCACTATCCCAGAATTTCAACCATTTGTTCTACAAAATATTATGCACAACGTATATCCTACATCTAGCAAGGATAAGGCTTTCAAGTTGAGTGAAATGCTATTGAAAATTGATCTTAGCAATATCCATAAGTTTTGCACCTGGACAGACACCAATGTTGATTCAGAAAAACTCTAGAAAACCTTACATTGAGAGACACTAAACTCATTGGAGATGTTAACATTGCTACAACACATAAATAGACATACATAAATGCACACGCAAGCGTGCGCACAATTTTACTAGGGTTGAGAAAGAGATGGCAAGGGTGGGTGGGGGGTTACCAATGCCCAATTTGACAATGCAAAAAAGTAATAACAAAGGGAATACATCATGAGTGAATAGATCTATTATGTAGAAGCACTGGCTCGTCACAAGCTATGTGTGGATGTCAGTTCATACTTTATCAATGGCTCACTTCAAAACTACACAAGAAATATCTTTATACCAAATATACGCTTTATACCAAATTCACTGTGGGATACGTGTGCAAAGTTTCTCAAGGTATCCATCTTCAATAAGCCATGGCCGATGAAATTATACAAAAAGAAATCTGTCTGCATAAGAGAAGAATTCCAATTACAAATGTAAACTGAATGTCTTCAAATATTACCTTGAAGAGAAGGTATCGGTAGACAAACCATCCAGTATATCCAAGCCCTACCAACTCCAGGATCTTTGGAAGCTGGTAATGAAATTTGTTGAGGGAGGTCATAGTGGTTCAATTAAACACCAAAACAAAATTGATTAAAAAAATTTTACATTGACAGAAAATTTAGCATGCCAGGGAATCAAAAACACTAAATAAGTGCCCATAACTAGCTTGAATCCAGTTGAAGACATAAGCAAGTACTTTTAATATTAAAACACCTACCAAAGGGACTGAGTTCACTGCACCAATAACAATGGAAGATAGCCAAACTGCAACAATCGCTCCACCTCCATAGAGAAGTACTGTAGACTTGTTTTCAACTGCATCCCACTAGTAAATATGACAACAGAAAGGAAAAAGAAGTCTAAAATCAACTACCATGTTAACGGAATTTGAAGTTTTAATTAGTAGGCAATGCAGTAATGGTTGAAACTAGATAATTTCAGAAAGAAAAATCAGAAAAAAGTTGCAATTGATGAACTGTCACCACCCCCAGGGTATGACACTCAGTTTACCTTCTCCTTTATATCGTTGAACAACTCATCAGTATCAATAGGAGTGGATGTCTCTTCTGACGAAGTGGCTTTCACCTGGAGCAAAGAAGACCTCTGGGACTCTGTTAAATGAAATAGAGTATAAGCATAAAGCTACAGGTAATTATACAAGTTTCACGTTAGCATCAATTAGACCATTGCTTGGTTGAAAAACTATGGAAGTTGAACCTGAAGCAAGTTCTAGTTTCAGTAGAGCAAGGATTCATCTTAGGGATTAGGGACCCTGTAATGGTCCATAACATATAAAACCTCTTTCCTACATTACCCCTATTCCTCACTGATAGGTTTATGTTGAACTTCTCCAAAATACCTTCTCACTCAGTAAATAGCACAGAGAGATTGGAAGTCAAAGCAAATTCCACATAAAAGAGTAAATTTGTCTCGCCTCTATATAAAATAATACATTCCTTAAGTCCTTTGCACGAAATCTACACTAACATATTCACACTGAGAGACTGTACTCCAACAGATTTACAAATGGAGAAACATGCCATTTGGTTTTCATCTTCAAGAAAATCATTCATAAGAGGTAGCTCATGCAGTCGAGCAGCTATGATACTTCTAACCCCTTGTGTGGAAACTTTAAGAACTCATCTCAGAAAAAGCCTGCCATAAATTTTCCAATTTAATATTGATTTCTTTCTCTTCTTCCAAATATCCAGGTTTCAATTTACTAATTAATTATAGTTTTGTATCCCAAGAATAACAAGAGAAATGCATCTTGCCCCTGCTGCTTCTCTTTTTTTTTTGTGTTCTTGTTATATTTTGGGTTTGGATCAATTACAGGCTTCACAATGAGTGTTAGCCTTTCAATGTTCAAGAGAGACTGAAAAAATCCAAGAACTCCACATGGAAAAACCTCATGGGAAGAAGAAAATAGGCACACACAGAAAGAGATAATACTTTATGTATCAAAAACAATTTCGGGATTCAAAGAACATGCTGCATTCCACTCTATACAGAAGGTGTTTTGATGCATATATTCACCCAATGACCCCCATGCAAATCTAGTAAGAAACCCAAAGCTATCTATCGATTTGGGTGGGAGGACCTTCAGCTCTATATTCTAGCGAGCTAGTTGTTGACTCTCCTAAGTGATAGTGCCACCATGCAGTGAACTCTATAAAATAAAACTAGGCAGGCTTCAATAAGTCTATTCAACGGTCTCAAATAAACTCATTCAACTACCATCATCTCTCTCAAAACCATACATATTATACCGTGCCTTTCAAGCACGGGTTACCCCTAATTGTTTGACAAATGACGATCACATGAATATATTTACAAATTGCCATTATTGCAAGCAAGCAAAAAGGACAACATTACCTTTGCTTTCACTTGTCACATAATCTAAATAAACGAATGTCCTACTCAGAGTTCTAATTCCTGCGTTTCTTGTTATATCCAATACTAACTTCAAGGTCATATGATCCTATCAAAAGAATTAAGATAGAAATATATGGACTTTACGCTCTTATGGTCGGGTATTTTGCAACCAAGGACAAAAATTATATTAAATTCACTTCATTTTCTTCCTAGTGTAGCTTGCCAGTGCCTCAATTTCAGCCAATTGATTGCATTCATCTCATCCATTCACAATGCTGTTAGTCAGTTCACAACTCATCATAAATAAGTATAAATAGGGACTGAAAATAAATAATGAAAAAAAGGAAAACCATGGCTAGATATATATACACAAGCATATAAGCGTGCTTCTGTATCTTAAATCAACAGATTATTGTTCGAATTAAGTAAAACCCAAGTCAAATTTGCGATAAATAAACTGAAGTACATGACAACGGAGAAGAATAAACTTGATATTCCTCAAAATAAACAAATTTAGGTCGTCAACCACAAATATGCTCGACGAAATGCCCCAGAGAGAGACATACCTGAAAACTTTTTGAAGGAAGTGGAAAAAGCCAAAGAGGACAAGCGCGGTGGTAGGTACGGTAAAGCAGAGCAGTGGGTGGTAGTTGCGAGACGGGGTATCAAGACAGCAGTTGCCGCCATGGAAGTGGAAGCTGCCGCCGAATAAGCCGTCGCCATTTGGCCGCAGAAACAAGTCCTGTCTCTCGAGTCCGAGTTTTGTTGCGAAGGTTTTTGTGTTCCTCCTGTTCTGCTATCCACACCAATTTTCTCTTTCTTGATGAGAGATACTGAATGAATAAGTGACACGTGGAGATGTTGAGCTTTCTGATTGGCTCATTCCCTATCTTCAAAAATCCCGGTATGAGGTGTATGACCCTCTCTCTGCCTGCTCCCACTTTCTTGATGAGAGGACTAAGCTATCAAGTCTGACCCGTTAAATCGAATTCGAACGGTTATAAAATTAATATAATTATTAAATACATATAATAAATAATTTAAATTAATATTTAATATTCAATACACATTAAATAATTTTTTTTTGTGAATCTTAATATAAAAAAGACACGATATAAATAAAATGACATGTAAATCACACGAACACAACACGATTTATTATGCCCCTGGATTAAGATTCACTTCCCACTTAAAATATGATTTTTTTGATAATAATTTGTGCCTGAAAAATATTTTGTCGGATTGAATTTTTGAGTATAAATTGTGTAATATTTATATTTTAGATGATATATTTTAAATTATTAAAGTTAAAAAAGAGAAAATAAGATAATGGTATGACAAAAAGAAGAAAGAAATAGCTGTAAATTAGTGGATTGAGAGTGTGTTAGTTAGTAAGGATACCCTCGGTGTATTTTACGCTTTTAATTTTTCAGTGCCCATCATCTATCAGCACCTCTGTTATGCTGTCGTTGTCACCACCATCATCATCACTAACACCATCATCGTTATTACCATCGTCACCACTACCACCATCACTATTGTCACTATAAATATATTTTGCACTCTTAATTTTTTAATATTTACCACTGCTATTATTGTGCTACCATCATCAGTAAGGTAGTTGTTACGAGATGATTAAAAAGAATGGTAAAATTAGAATAATATATTACTTAAATTTTAGCATTTAATATTCAATATTCAGTTTTTTATTTTGTAATACATCACCTAATTCATTGTCATGACTAAATTAGTTATAAATTGTAAAAATAGAGTATACTTTTAATTTAACAACTATAAACTCCGAAATAAATATAAGGGTTAATTGTAAATTGCATCCCAAAAGATAATTCGAATTTCAATTTGTACCTTCAAAAATAAAAATTTGTATCAATGTGCACCCCCAAAGATCAAAAATCTCAATTTGTACCCTCAAATATAGAAATTTGTATCAATATCCACCTAAAACTAATCACCATCAGTTTACTACCTAAAACTAAATTGATAAATTATATTTAGATCCATTCGTACTTGTCACTTAATCATTTAGATCTTTCACATTTAGAATGTTACTTCTACATCTTATGACGTTTGTGCACGTATGACACGTAACCCTTTTTCGCTGATATCTTTTAATATAATCGTTAAAAAATATGATTTTATCCTAATAAAAAATTATAATTTCATATTACTATTTATTTTGTATGTTTGATATACTCTAAAATTCAAAATTAAGTTTACTATTTGAATGTCCAATAGAATGTAGATATTTATACAATATTTTTTATATCCAATGCAATATATCACTTAAACATAATTATTTGAATGACCAATTGAGGGGACATTTTTAGTTATATTTGGATTCTCAATGGATATAGGTGTAATATTTTAAATCTGAGGAGTATAAGTGATTAAGTGACAAGCATGAATGAGTTTAGGAGTAATTTATTCATTTATTATGATAAAATAATATTTTTTAACGGTTATATTAACATATATCAACAAAAAAGGGTTACGTATTACATATACACAAACATTATGAGATGTAAGAGTAATATTCTAAATGTGAAGGGTCCAAATAACTAAGTGACAAGTACGAGGGGATCTAGGTATAATTTATCAATTTAGTTTTAGGTAGCAAACTGACAGCGGTTAATTTGAAGTGCACATTGATATAAATTTCTATTTTTAAGGGTATAAATTGAGATTTTTGATCTTTTGGGGTGTATATTGATATAAATTTCTATCTTTGAGGGTGTAAATTGAGATTTTTAATTTTTGAGGGTGCACATTAATGTAATTTTTTATCTTTGAGGATACAAATTAAAATTCAAATAATCTTTCAAAATATAATTTATAATTACCTCTAAATATAAACAACATTGTTCTTTCAAACAACGACGTGGTGTACTCTTGTCACGAGTCACTTGGAATATGAGCCGGCCCAACAAAGACCGAGTACCTAACTATTAAACTGCTTTTGAATTTGAACGAGGAAGTGGTTAAACAAAGACGCCAATTAACATGGGACATTAGGGGCATTATTATCTTGTTTGTTCGAGAAAATCTCCATTATGAAAACTTGATGCCCCAAATGAAGTTTGATCCTCACTTAAATAACATGGATTAATCGTAAAAGATATAGAGATTAGAGGACTATGTCTCCGGCAACGATACGGCTATAATATATGCGTAAATATTCTCAAAGATTACGTCATTATTTCTAAAAGTGTGCATGAATATGATGAGCACACCTAATAATCAGCCACGGGACTGTCCAGTCTACCGGACTAAACTAACCCATTTCTTGGTGCGCCGCTCCGCCCTCTCCGACGGGTTTAAGACAACCTAAACCTTGTTGGAACCGTCTAATATCCAATCCTCTTTTTTTTTTTCTCTCTCTATATATATATCTATATAATAAAGCAGAGTTGAATTTGAATCCAGAGACAAAGAGAGATACAAATTATTTTGAAACAAAACATAAACACATCTAACAGAATACGTAATCCCAACATAAAAGACGGTTCAGATCATCTCATAAATACTGATCTGACCATAATTATACTTAACTCTAACACTCCTATCTCTCATATAATTCTCTCTTTCTCTCTCTTATCTCTTAAAAGTTTTAAACATACTATCTCGTCTTTTTTTTTTCTCTCTCTATATATATATAAAATAAAGTAGCTAGATTTATTTATTTTTAGCTTTTCGCAGCTCAGATTGCTTGACGATTATTGGTCTGACAGTTCTCATGCCAAATTTTTCTAAGACTCCTATTACTCATCTAACTCTCTTTATATCTATCTTCTGCTCTCTCTCTCATATTATTATCTTATTTTTTCTGTTTTTCAAGTGTTATTTTTTTATTATTTACTCCATCAAACATATGAAATTACATGTTATGCAATTATTTATTCCATAAAATTAATTTAAAATTTTATATATCTAACAGCATGTATTTTGCCATTTACTTTTTAATTTGTAAATAACACTTAATGCTGCCACGATCCACTGAAATTCAGTCCTTTATCGCTTCGATTTGTAAAAAAAAAAGGTAAATAACACTTAATGTAAATAAAAAAGTACACATTTTTCATGATTTAAGAATTTTTTTATCTGAATTTCACATCTTTGCTTGAAATTAGGTCTTAATTGATTCACAGCCTAAATTCCTCTAAAATTCTTATTGATAATGATTTTTATATAAATTATTTTTTTAATTTTTTTAATGTTTGCTCTATTTGTTATAACTTTGGTACTAAAATTTTTAATTTACTTTCACTTATTTTTACGTGAACAAGAGATTTTTCAGTTTGACAAGTGGATGTGAGTGATTCTTTTAAAAAAAATGAAGGTGAATAATTAGTTTGGTTTAAGTATGTGTGGTCAAATCTTGACTAAAAGAAAATTTATCAAATGATATAGTAAGAGAGAATACGCTATGCTATGAAAAAATTTGTATTTAAATTTTATGGGTTAAAATACAAAATTTTAAGTTTATATAAAACAAAAAAATTTATAATTTAAGGTCAATTTCATGTTGGTTTAATTAACAACAAATAATATTCAACAAGAAATGAACCTTAAATTGTAAATTAATATATATTTTTATTTAATTTTGTCCAATTTATATTCAACTTTGTTTAATTAATATCAAATTAATTTTTATTGTTATCAAATTAATATTAAAATTCATTTAATCAATTTTTTGGGGTACTAAATTATATCAATTTTTTGAGTACTAAATCAAATCTTATTTTATTTTATTAAATTTTTAATTTTTTTGGGTACTAAAGTTGGATAAAGGCAATTATGAAAATAATAATTTTTTTGGGGGGATAAAATCATCATTATCCGTTAGCAATATTGAAGGAAGGGAGACATAGGGGTCTCTGTGTAATAAATTTTAAACTCTATGGATCTCTATGTTATTTATAAAATATTAGGGGGTGTTCATATGATATTGTCAAAATTCAGGAGAAGTATGTTTTTTTTACCCTATTTTTTATTTAGATATTAATTTATTATTATTTTATCGTAAAAACTTGAATTATTATATTTATAATAAAAATAATTATTGGTTAGGAAGGTTTGTTGGTAACCAAAAACTAAATGTGTAAGAGTATATTTCTGTGTACATTTATATGTGGGGGATTGAAAATTTGGTAATTAAATTTATAATTTTATTTTGCCATTTGGTGTTGAATGGTGATAGTTAGGGGTGACAATTTTTGACACGACACGATAACCTAATACGAAACAAGATACAAATAAATGAGTTTGGGTTGACTAATTTTTTGTGTCAACCCGTGTATGACACGACCCGTCAACACAAAGTTTTTAACTCGAAGGAGATTGACCTGGCCTTTTCGTTGCATGTATGAGTTTTCATGTTTTGATGGCTTATTTTTTCCATTTATTCTGATGTTTTTTGGTTGTGTTATATACAATTAACATATTTAATTAGTATTATATAAATAAAATATTAATTATTATAACTGTTTATTAAGCATTGATATAATTATTGTATAAAAAAAATATTATTACTCATTATTATTATTATTGATGATGCACAAAATTAGTTTTCACAGCATTTGTCAATTAAGTAATATAAAATGCAGTAAAGTAGAGGGAGAGAGAAGACAATGTTTATAGTGGTTCGGTCAATATGACCTACGTCACTTTGAATGACAAGGGTCACCGGAATTTTATTATCTCCG